TGATGGTTTCAGCATAACCTAGTAAACAATGTAGTAGAGATAAGGAAGTGAACAGTAAAATGCGTAAAGCTGTTACAAGAAATTCAAACAAAGACGTGTCTAATAAGTACAAGGTCGATCCAAACCAAATACGTAACAGCAGTAATCCCAGAAGTATTTCAAAGTTCTTCGACATGTTATATAGACAATATACCTTGTCCTTTGTTTCTCCAAGAGGCGAATATACAAACAAGCGAATACCTAATTATCAGCAGTTTTGGCAACTGTAGGAGTTGACACAGCAATAAAAAAAACCTGTTGTAAGTTAACATAACGAACTTTATTTTGTTCGTTAGTATGTTAATTAATTCCTTGTGTTAATGTTAGGTTAATCTAAATTCGTTTTTAAAATGTGCCGTTCATTTTTGTGTGCATGTTTAATAAAATAAAATAATTGTTTGATGCTTTGTTTTCGGTAGTTATAAGTATGGCAACAATGTTTAGCGTTATATTGTTTACCGCCAAACAACGAAAAGTAGGTAAAAGCTTCAAGAACGGTAATCAGTACTTATATTACTAGGTTTTATAAGAATGTTAAGTCACTTAAAGCATCAACATAAATTTATTAATAGGTAAACTTAAGCAATTCCGTTAACTACTCGTTGTTTTGATTTAATTTAATGTTTTAGATAAGTATATAGGTAATTAATTATCAATCATCCCTTACTTTGTGATATCTGTTCAGTATGTTCGGTATGTTCATACTAGGGAATGCAATCTCGGGAGATTGAGGATCGGACGAGATCTCGGCCTTTTTTGTGTCCTAAAACGAGATTGCATTCCCTAGTTCATCTACACTTCTACACTTCTACATACACTATACATACACTTATAAGTAATATAATAAAGAGGAAAACTTTGTTTGTTTTTTTGTATGTATGTAATCGATAAACTCCGAAACTACTGGACCGATTTCGAAAATTCTTTCACCATTAGAAAGCTACAACATTCCTGAGTAACATAACATAGGCTACTTTTTACCACGGGAAAATTCCTCATTTCCACGGGAAAATGGTTAGCAGCAGGAAAAGCGGGAAATACAGCGGATATTACCCAAATAAGCCAAACCGCTGTACCGATCTTCGCAAAATTTGGCACTGATATTACTAGCATAGTAAAGATGGACATGGACTACTTTTTGTCAGCCCTCGAGGATCTGGAGTACGAGTACCTGATGAAGACCACCAGCATCCCATCTAAACTATAAAAGATACGGTCATGGCTTCATAGAAAAAGTTGTTCACCATGACGGGCCGCTTCTGCTGGCACATGGTCATCGAGGATCTGGAGTACCTGATGAAGACCACCAGCATCCCATCTAAACTATAAGAGATACGGCCATGGCTACATAGAAAAAGTTGTGCATCATGACGGGCCGCTTCTGCTGGCACATGGTCATTGAGGATCTGGAGTACCTGATGAACATCACCACCATCCCATCTAAACTATAAGAGATACGGTAATGGTTTTTAAGTAAAAGTTACTCAGCATGGCAGGCCGCTTCTGCTGGCACATGGTCATCGAGGATCTGGAGTACCCGATGTAGACCACCAGCATCCCATATAAACTATAAGAGATACGATAATGGCTTCAAAGTAAAAGTTATTCAGCATGACGGGCCGCTTCTGCTGGCAAATGGTCACGAGGGTCTGGAGTACCTGATGTAGACCACCAGCATCCCATATAAACTATAAAAGATACGGTAAAAGCCTCAAAGTAAAAGTTATTCAGCATGACGGGCCGCTTTTGCTGGCTCATGGTCACGAGGGTCTGGAGTACCTGATGTAGACCACCAGCATCCCATATAAACAATAAGAGATACGGTAATGGCTTTAAAGTAAAAGTTATTCAGCATGACGGGCCGCTTTTGCTCGCACATTTACCTCTGCTGGATCGGAGTAAGTAATGGACTTTTTACTACGGGCAAAGATCCAATTTCTACGGGAAAACAGGTAAGTAGCAGCGGGTGAAACCGCTGGGCGGGTTGCTAGTACTCGATAAAGCAGTAGATTTGTGATATGACAACTCACGCAGTATATCTTTGGTGTCATACTTATTTACACAATAGGCCTTTAACCGGCCAATCTGAGTTGACTGAGAATATTGTGATGTTAGCCCAGCATCACACAGAACCAGAAGACAATAACTATCTCTCATTTCTTTCGCAGACCATCTCAGGCAACTAGAAAAATGCATAATATAAACCACCTGTCATGCAGATCTGACGCAACACACACTACAGAGAACATTCTTTAATAACGCACTGCATTGTGTATTTTTATCTGCCACACGAGGCCGTGGGACCTCCCAAGCCATACAAACCCTCACATAGTGCGGAGGCTTATTCCCAAACATTTACGTAACTACAATTGTAATCAGTCAGTACATAAATGATGTGTTAAACAGAATATGACCTTAATTTCAGATGCAACTGAAAATGGTTGATTGCCATTGTTTATGATTAATTGGATGTTGTTGGTTTAATTGTTATTTTGCTGGATAGGTTTGATTTTATCTGGTTTAAGAGCGAAGTAATGTGTGGAATCGTATGCAGCCCTTTGCGTACCTACCTAGCTACAGTAATGTAATTTTGCTTGGACTGGTTAAATGAGTGTGACATTCTGCGTGAATTTTCTTATCCTTTATTTATGAACTACGGATCTAAAAGTGTTTACAGGGTGTAAGGGACAGTTTTCAGAATACTGTAATCTGAATGCACTATCAGTAATCGAAGAGCTGACCCTTACCTTGTCTGAATTAAGGTGACTTTTGACTTCTTAGTTGGTAATTTCACCGACTTTACAGCGTGATGGCGTAAATTTTCAGTCATTCATACAAAAATATTACTGAACAAAACCGCATTGAACTTATTTCTTAGGTATATACAACAGGAATAAAAAATAACTAAGTAAATAATATATGTAATAAAATAAAATAAAATTAACTAATTATGTATCTTTATCTAATTTTAATGTAAATGCCCAATTTGGGGTATAGATGACAATAATATAGGTAAAAGTGTTGTAATGTGTATCCATACTATCAATTTGGTTCCTATCTAAACATTACCTAGTGCCTGTATTTACTGTTTCAGGAATTGTCATGAAGTAAATAACAGAAAGAAAACATCGTAAACAGAAATTTTCTTCTTTCATCGATATTTATAAAAAAAATGTTCAATAAAACACGCGCTACTCGGTAGATAAATATTCAGTTTTTCAACTAGTGTACATTTCATTCTTACACTACTTAATTTGCGGTTATAGCTTGAATTCACGCGACTGGTTAACGACAATTGTATTTATAACACAATGTTAATTTAAGTTTTATTTGTTTATTACCTACTTAAGATTTAGAAAGTTTCATGGTTGATGTGTACTAAAAAATATAGGGAGTATTTAAAATGGCCTAATTTTAATTTCAGGTTGTAGCCTTTTGTTATCTCGTATCAATTCACATCTTCCTAAACATGACCTATTAATGACAGCTTTTATTCAAATATACGGGTATTAAAGAAAGTGTACTGAAAACTTCCTGGCCCAATTAGAGCATAAAACTGAACCACTTTTACTACGCAGCCTGTATTGAAAAGCAAAAAAAAATAGGCTCTAAAAAGTCAGTTGACTGAGATTTTTATGGGAGGTCGAAGAAATTTATTTGTCGTCTTCAAGATAGTACTCATTGAAAGAAATGATTTGTTTCATAGTCGGATAATGCCGGCATTTTCGGTACACCTCCAACTACGTATGTAGATTAGATTAGATTTTTTATTTCACATTATCAAATTCATAGTATGTATGGACTTAATAATTAACAGAAATAGGCCCAAAATGCATCCGAGCGGAAGTAATTACCATACAGCTAACTATTGTTGTCGTCTGAGTTCGCTCTGTTTTACTTGTAGCTTATGTGGTTTCCACATAAATTAAATTATAAGTCATTCTCATCAATGAGACCACAGCCGCAACCACTTTTCTGGAGCTTAACTTTTTAAAAGCTTTGCCACTACCACTTTTCTTGTGGTTAGCATTATTAAAAGCCTTACCTAAGTCAGAAGTAGTAATCGCACTAGTTTGCCGAACCGGTGTAAGAATATAGTAAAATGACAGAATAAAAAGCTACTCGTACTTACTACTTCTTTGACTTGGAAATCTAATCGGACATTTACCTTGTGGTGCCGGCTTATACTATACCATATCTTTCCCGTGGGTGTCGTATGAAGCCAAGGGATTTGAGAGTTGATGTGTATTGTAATTTTAGGCTGACAACTTGTCAACATGGTGATGTTTCTCTGAATGACTCTCAAACTTTTGTCGGACGTGGCATAATTGCCGGTTTTTTTATAGCCGTTTTCGCTCTACCTACCCTTTAAAGGATATAGGCATGATATTGTATGTATGTACATTGAATCAATAAACGATTCGATGATGAATGTGGTCAGACTGTTTGGCCCATCTAAGTACTGGACCTCTGACTTGGTTGTAGGTATAAGTTAACGTAGAAAACAAGCAAAGTTTACGCATATTCAAGTACCATTTATGAAGCACCAAATTATCTAACTTTTAATTAGAAATTAAATTCAAGTGTTTATCTTCCTAACCGACTGAGATCAATCCTTTCATAAACACCTAGCCTAGTGTCAACCACTTATCTATTGCTCGGGAATCGAACTCTGGTACAACGGCTCACAAAGCCAAGGCTCAGCAAACTAGACCATAGCTACATGAAGTATAATACTCGTATATCAAGCTATGCGAATGTCCACCCCCTTGCGCAAGAAGCGCATGCGTGAAGGCTGGTCATTGTAACCGCCATTTTGAATTTAAAAAATAGTTTGTCGCGAAGGCCTTACCACGTCACGCTGCTGCTCCTACGCTATGTATGAAATAGTTTCGTCTGCAATTTTAGCTAAATGGTGGACTTTGTTAACAACAATTAATGTTATTGCAGGCTAAGATTGAGCCGCGGTAGCTTAGATGGTAAAGGCGTCGCCAGTATAGATGACGTAAGTCGCAGGTTCAAATCCTGCCTACGATGGAAAAATCATTAACAGTGAATTACATAAACAGTCTATTAAAGAAAGATTGAGTCTGCTTAGATTATTTACCTAACAAAAAAACAGTAAAAGTTAATTATTGCAAGCTAGCCAAAAACCCCAGATTAGTTAGGTAGGTAAATTTAACTACTAACACGCATTCTAAATATTGAAATTAATGAGATGGACGATAGGCGTATGTATACATAACTAAAGCAACTTATATTAACATCGCCTACGATAAAGACCAATTTATGACAATCGTATCTTTGCTAATTACAAATTTCTACATCTTTTTGTATATTAAGTCTCTTGAGAACTAATAATGAGGTATTATTACCTCAATGCTGTATAGCTTATAATGATGATGGTCAAGATTTGACTTCTAATTTGTTGCTTTCCGAAACCAATTATAAAAGAAGCAGATATTTGGCAATGACGCCATTACGATGCCGCTCCATATTCTGCTGTTCTAGATAGATAAATAAAGGTATGTAGGTCCGGAGTGTGGGCGGTGGCACCATATGATCCTCGCTACTTGATAAATCGTATGAAACAATAGCAGTATTTAAATACATGATCCATTATATCACCAGTATCTGTCACTGTCAAAACTTGTTTATTTTGGGTGGATCGTGGTATTGTCCGAAAATCTAAATTGACAAGACAAACAACGACGTTGCGAAATTCAATCTGACATCAAAGTTCTTTTATATCATATGTTTTGATTTTTTTAATAGGAAATGTTAAATGAAACGTCTGCATTCCATAGTCCAACTTTTATACAAACCACTTACAAAAATATTTACATCATGAGTATTCTACTGGCAAAAGTTATCACGAAATAAATTAGTCTATTGAAATACTTTCAGTTGTACCTTTCAGTGCCTCTGCATCATCTGCATCGGTTTCTTGGATTCTTCTGCAGAACCTTCTTCTCCAAGAATCTGGACGTTCCTGACCTGTTTTCTAGTTGGAGCTGCTGTGGTTAGTTCTGTGAGTGGTTGAGGAGTAGGCATAAAGTCGGGACTGATAGCCAACATCAGCATTTTCAGGAGTAACGCTTCTCTTATCTCAGGTGGCAGATATTCTGGAGTCTCTTCTACTCGATTTGATGATGAACTTTGCGTGTCATAAGGTCTGGTGTATAATCTTCTTCGTGGTACGTATCTCTGGCTCTCATATTGTTGAGGCTCATAATTTTGAACTTGGTTTTGGTAAACTTCTTGCTGCCTGTATGGCTGTTGTTGTTCGTATCTATAGTCATACCTTTCATCATCAGGATATTGACGAGTCTGATATCTGTTTTGAGTATATTCATACTGTGGCTCAGCAGCTCTGAACAGAGGCAAGGGCTGGTATGGTGGACCAGGAGCGACAATCTGGTCCATCAGGGCTTGCAGCCGATTCTGCCTTAAGATCAGAATTTGAAGCAAGCGTTTCAGGTCTCTCGTACTTACTGGAGCTGATATGGAGTTCATTTCTTCAATTGGATCATATCGTGGTTGATGCTGAGGCTGGATCAAAACAGGTTGGGGTTGGGGTTGAGGTTGAGCAGGTCTGTAAGGGTTTACGAACCTTTGATATCCTTGGATAGGTACTCCTCTCTCATCGACAGCAATAGGAATTATCCTCGTCACTTGTCTGTTATCATACGGCGCTGCGGTAACTGCCTCTGATGCTGATCCTTTGATTTGAGGCGCTTGTGTCTGATGGTGAGATTCTTTTACAAAATGTGGCTCCAATACTTTGTGTTGAGGGTGGATGTTCTGGTATTCGTATTGGAGAAAGGGCCGCTGGTTTCCGATTGGTATGGGTGCTCCCGGATTATCTCTTAAATATTCGTTGGTACGGAATTGGACAGTCGATTGCGGTCTTCGGTAGATTGGCTGTTGGTAAAATCTCTCCTCGGGAATACGTTGGGGTATATGAACCACTGGCACTGGATTAGAAGTCACAACATTTTCATGGTCAAACACGCGGCCAGTACTGGCTTCTATGGTTGTTTCCTGTTCCTGATGCTGAGCATCTTGGTACTGCTGTTGTATTCTCTGCCTTGCAGCTACTAAAGAATGTATCGGCACTAATCTTGGTCTAGGAGTTGTAGTAGTAAATAATGGACGTACCGTTCCTAGAGATAGATGACTTCCGTAAACGTCAGTAGAATCATCGCCAGCTGATTGTTGCAAGCTTAGCATGTGCGGGTTCTGGCTGGTTCCGGTAAGTTCTCGACGAATTGTATTCGCTTTACCAGGGTCGTTCTCTGGCTCCTCAGTCACATGTTCATAAACCGGTTTCACTGTATGTGGAAGTTTAGTTGTTGTCTGTCTCGTGATGAGGTCGTCTTTATCGTTCCTTGATATCGGCTTTTGCATTTGACTTCGAGTTCGGATCATCGTAACACTTTCTTCTTTTGGTTTGTACAAGTTCAGGATATTGCTGGTCGATTCTTCAGCCTGTTGTTTCTCAGTAGTCATTTCGGTTGTCGTAGGTGGTTTTGTAGAAAGAGTAGTTGCAATCCTTCTCCTTGGTATAGCTTGCACATTGGTTCCTCTTGTAGTGTAGCTGCCTCTAGTAGGGTAAACCACTGTACCAAGGGGCCTCCTGGTAGTAGATGATGATATTGTTTTGTTCATCCTCACCACCATCATCACTGGAGGGGATGGGGTGGTAGTAGTAGTGGTGGTGGTACTGGTGGAAGAAGTCACTGGCACTGGTGTAACTGGGGTATCACTTGAAGAAGAATACGTCACTCGTTTTATTTCACCGTCTTGATCAATATACCCGAACGTTCCCTTCACATTTCCCAAAACATCCCGGCTCTCAATTTTAAAAGTCCCATCGTCAGCTTCGTAGCCGACGGTGTAAGAGCCATCTGGATTCAGTCTACGAATTTGTTTCACTATTTCAACTTTGGACGGATCGGCAGTTTCACTAGCTTTGAGTATTTCTTTGGTGGAGTTGGTTTCGGGAATAGGGGTGGTGGTGGTGGCGTCGGGGGTGCCGTGGGAGCTGTGCGTGGAGTTGGAGGCCCCCGCGACGGCCAGGCAGGCGACGAGCACGACACGCAGCATGGCTAGGCGCGCGGCGACATGTCTGCGTACGGAGCCGCGCGCCAAACGCTCCCCTATATAAAATATCGCGCGCCCCACCGGCCGCTACCGTCGCCGCCGCCGTGCGAACAACTTGCGCAAACCCTGCCATTGTTGTCATTTCATTATCTGAAACGGAAAATCTTTTTTCTTCGCATATAGTAGTGCCGTAAGATCCCAATTGTTTAATTGTCCCGGCCGTTTTGTAAATCTATGAGCATGTGGACATTTTAGGGAATCTTAGCACTTCGACGGCACCATATTTTTGAATTCTAAGGTCGGGTCCAGATGAAACATACCATTGTGTGTTTTAATTGTTCGATTGTTTCTAAAATATTGTTGGTAAATGAACTAGGTTGGTTTGTTGGTTGTTCCCACGAGCTAGCCAATGTCATGATAATTGCACAGTAGCTTTTGGGCTTCAAATTGATGGACCAACTATTGTGCTTTTGGGGTTTTTAATTTTGCAACGTTATTAAACTAAAAGGCTTTAATTTTCTAATTTGCGTGTGGTCTGGGGACAAACTGGCTGTTGCAATGGCGCTGGAATTTAATTGGTCAAATTGTTTTTGACTATAAAAGACTTAGAGTTAGTTGTGTGGATTCTCATGGTTTGTTGTGGTCTATGGGGTCTGTGTTTAATGCTGCAGCGTGGGATCTAGCCACACTGTTCTCACTTGGTACCTAAGTACTCCTACTAGTATCTTTTCTTGTATCATTGTATATTGGACAAAGGCTGCATTGTTATATTTTGTGTAAATCACTGGAATATAATTTGCTAATGTTTTTTTAACGATCAGCTATTTTGTACCATGTTATTATGGTGTAAGTAAGTACATTTCTTGTAATGGCAGATATTTGCTGTAATCAAGGCAATGAAATTGATACTAATGTGAGAAGTGTATTTTTAAGTGTATGTCACCCGTGTGATCGGAAACAAAGGAACAACATAAATAATACGGACGGATTGCAAATAGGTAATTGACCTACCTACAACAAATACTTATTTAAAAAAATATACGGGGTGCAAGGAGCAGCTGCAATGCTCTATATACAGACAGAGTAAGATAAGAGATTAATCAAAAACTTTATTTAACAAAACAATTAAATGTGTCATGTACAATTACAAACTTACATGCTATTTATACAACATAATTAAATTATAGGTAAATAAAAAATGTCATCCAGCATCTAGCAACGCGGCAGGATTCCCAAAAGGCATTGCCAAGATAATTTATTTAGTAATAAAATTAATTACAAATAGGTAAACTAAATATAAAATAGTTATGAGGGTTGCCCATTTTCTAAATTAAATACTTACAAGGCTGAAACGTTTATAAACACGGTTCCATGCTTTGGAGGTCCTTGTTGTGTATGGCGGCGGTAGTATACGACCTAGTAGAAGCCCTACCAAATATCTATTAGGCGTTTTAGGAACTCTGACGCCAGGGTTTGTGAACGAAAAATCTTAGATATTACGACGAACCCGATGCCGTGACTCGGTCCTCCATAACCGAGTGCAAAAGAAGTCAATAAGCTGAATTTGATAATTATCACGTCAAAGCCGACGCTACCGTATTGTGGTATTGCGCAAGCGTTGGTATCTCTTTAAATATAGAGCACACACCATACTGGATGTCACTGTGGTTGTATCATATGTTTTTGTGTCATTAATTATCATCTTATATAGCAAATTATTGCAAGGCATCGACAGCCATAATATTCCACCACTGGACAAATGTAAGTACTCCCCTGTGCTGTCTAAGCAATGCTTGGCAAGTTTAGGGCAGGTTTTTTGACGTCATGGTTTTCCACCCAAAGGTTTCTCCAATAATGGTGTGAATATGGTCTTTTAGGATCGGCAAGCCCCAGTTAAAGCACAGAATATATAATAGGTACCTTAGGGTACC